CTTACATTTAAAAAAAAAAAAGAGGGGGGGGGGAGGGGTGGAAGGGGCGGGGGGAATACAGAAACCAAATGACTACTGTAGACACTCTTAAGTTCCCTGTCAATCGTTTCATTATAGCAGCATCATCTGTTTGAAAATATAAGCAATTCCCTCATCTAATTATAGGGAGGATTTGAGGTTCATTAACATTGCCAAGGCAGAGAATCAGATGTGCAACTGCAGAGCTGTGCTCAGTGGCCTGCATTCTCTGTTTCCTTTTATTTGCTTTTTCAAGGTCTCCAAGACTTTTTCCTGAAACCATAAAAGTAATTCTTTCCTCCAAAATAGACACGTGTGTTTAGAAAAAGGAAATGACTACATGTTGTACTGTTCTATTATTGGGCAAGGTCGCTAGAGAAAAATAATTTAACCTAAATCATTTTATCTCTGATTCTGGATTAAAAAAAAAAATGCAAGCAACCGTCATTATTTTTGAACAACACAACGCAGGAAATCTTAAATTTGTCTCATAATTTTATACAGTACAAGTAATGTGGATGAATAGAAAACCCAACATGTCAATAAAACTTCTTAATTTTCAACACATTTTGTGGTTGTTTATGGATTAACATGCTAGCCAAGTGTAAAATATTGCCTTGCACTTCCTAACTGTGTTTAGAAACCAAGAACACCAAAGTCTTCATGATTGCTTCACTTCCTTGAAGAAATAATAGCATTTTTTTTTTGTATGAATGTAATTTAAACAATGACATTTTCTTGGGACATCTGTTTTGAGATCACATTTTGAATAGATATGAACTCATTTCCTACTAAGCAAGTAATTTACTATTGTTGATAGTTGTTTACAAGTTTTATGAGTCAGATTTCAGCAAGTGGCAAAGGTCTTTACAAATCCTTTGAGTATTCTCTAAACTGTATTCATAGTTTATTCATTATATAAAATGTTTAGGAAGCAAAAGTATATGGACTGTTCTTTACTTCCCACCAAGTTATAGATAGCAAAGCCTAGCTCACAGAAATATCTTTAAACATTTTTAAAGGCTTCTATCATTTGTTGCTGCAGATTAATGAAGTATGATAGCAAGGTAGTAAGTACTTAAAAGCAGTGAAATAATTGAGGTGATCTACCTATCCATAACTTCAGAGTATCAGGTAGTAAATATGTGACTGATCCTAATAACATCATAAGATGTTGATATGACAAAGAGCAGAACCTCTTCAATTAAATTTAATGTTTGACCTTCTCACTTTATTTCTTTTAACTCTGCAATTAAAACAAAAATAAAAATATGGCATGATCTTAGAGACAATGCATTTTGTTTGCTGCCATATGGAATTCATTTTTTTTAAATGAGAAAACAGTAATTTATCTATCCTGCATGTTGTATATAGAATTGCCACTAAAAAAAAAAAAAATAGAACCTAGGACATTTTTCCTTCTTATCTGCAATGTAGCTCATATCAGCCAAGCTGTCACAAGACAGTACTTGATATAAACAAGAGATTGCAAAGACATCGCAGTAATCAATATTAGGATGGCTACAGTATGGAAGCCCCAACCACTGCATATCATTTGTCTCAGCATCTATTTCTATGACCAAATGAAGCATTAATTCAAATCATAAATCTATGGTGATTTAAATCTGGGAATGAGCACCTGCCTGCTTTAATGATTTATTTTGTACATTTCAGTAAGCAGGAGATTTGTCCATATGAACTGACAGGTCACCTTCAGATGCCAGTAGCAGACTGTTTATCACCATGCAGACTAGCATCTCATCTTAGCAAGTAAATATTAAACTAAAAGAATCCAATTGATTGTGGATGGGGGAGAAAGGCGTTGCAGCCATATATTCTACTCAGTGTGCTAATACCTCATTCCAATTCCTCTGTAATTTATTTTTTCTCTTTTCTTTTCCTTCCTTCCTTTCTTCCTTCCTTCCTTCCTTCCTTTCTTTCTTTCTTTCTTTCTTTCTTTCTTTCTTTCTTTCTTTCTTTCTTTCTTTCTTTCTTTCTTTCTTTCTTTCTTTCTTTCTTTCTTTCTTTCTTTTTTTTCTCTTTTCTCCTTCTGAAATAATAATGCTGGTGGGAGGATGAAAGCTCAAGGTTACCATGCAAAACTGAGAGATATAAAATAATTACTTATTAGTGTCATTGACTTCCTTCAACTCCCTTCACTCACTAACCTTTTGGCCATTGCTTCAAAGGACCAAGTTAATAAATTTGTGTAGTGCTCTGTATAATTATACAATGTTCATCTACATAAATGACTTCTGTAAGTCACATTAAGCATCTGATTAAAACCAAAAAGCAAGACAATTCAGAAGTAAACCTGACAATATAAGGAGTTCATATTTTATTTTTCTTCCTTCACACACATTAGAAAAGCCCAAGAACAAGGTACGCTCAACCCATGTACATTACCATACACCTGTAACATGTGGGCTAACATTTAGATAAAGTTTTTAGACTGTTTTTTGTTTGTTTTTCTCCAGTTTGGTTAGACATATAACATAATATAAAATATAACAAAAATCAGATTATTTTGTTCTGTTTTATCCCTTCCTCCTGTCAACATTCATAATTTTAATGTTTCAAATTCACGCTTAACAAGCCATAGGTTGTATTGTTAATGATATATGGTCTTAATAATATTTATTTGAAAAAACATAAACATTTGGGGAAAAAAAGAAAAACAACCCCTCAAAACAAACAAAACCAAACAAATAATAATAAAAAAACCCTCGAAACAACAACAAGAAAACACACGCATACCTACTACCAAACAACACTTTTGAAATATGCTTCTTGTCAGGATAATACAATATACTGGTTTTCAGCAATGCAATTGACAAATAGAGTTAATTCTTAGTGAATCTAATAATACACTGGTATAATACACTAGTATATATACACTGGTAACCAATTCTTTGATTCCATAGGCATAAATGACACTGGACACTAGATAGGGCCCACTATAAAAGAAACAAATAAATGAAAGTAATTTTTGAGAAAACTTCCATAGGAAAAATATAATTCAAAGCTGTGCACAAACAAGAAGACTGTATTTCCAGAGACATTTCTGATAGAATGAAAACAACTGAGACCATTATTTTTTTTTCTGAACAAAATGAACTCAATTCTTCATTCATTTAAACTGGGAAAATAACTGAAGTTAACAATTAAGTTAAGTTGCTGAGAGGAGATTTTGGCGATAAATAATGTTACTTTAACCTACTAAAAAAGCTTGAATATAACTTCTCAATCAAGTAAAATGAGTAAACAGTTTATGAGCAGATTAACCATATAAATTTTGTCTCAAACAATTATTTTAAGATGGATTTCAGATGAAATTCAGCTATTCCTCCCACAAATCCTGCAAATACTTCATGTGGTCTACATGTTGATTATTTGTTAACTTTTCCATTTCCATACATGTACAAGTAGTTTGTCTGAACAGCCAAGAAGAATATTAGTTCTCTAATTCAATATGCGAACACTTTGTTTCACATAATGCATGCACTATGCATGCACCTAAATTAGCTTTGAGTTCAGACTCCTTACCCCAATACTTGGTATTTACTTTTTTTTTTTTTCATTTATACTTTTTTTCTTTGTATTTACACTTTAATACTTTACTCTTTTTTTCAGCATCTTAGGGAAGGACAAGCACCTTGTCCTTCCATTATACTTGCTCCTATCATCTCTTCCACTCAGGTTTCAAAGATACCTCCTCTTTACCCACTGTTGTCCTCACAATTTTTCCACTAATATTCTACAGAATGCACGTGTTGGTATTCAAGTACTATCATAATAATTTAAGATAGTTTTCTTTACAAGAGCATGTTTTTAAAAGCTTTTAAGACAAACAAACAAACAAACAAAAACAGATTGTCACCTTATGCATGCATATTGCTGTTATTTAAAATAATGTATCTAGGTGAACTGGTTCTTTGAACTGTAGTCCACATTACTTATAAATAACAGCCTACGAATGCTCCCAGATTGTATAGAACTCTGGTTCACAAACATATTTATTTATGTTAAGGCTATAACATAACTATTTAAGACTCATTTCAAATATATTTACAATATGAAAAATCATAAATAAATAAACAAAAGAGCCCAAAATAAAAACAAAGAATCCCTATCTTATGCCATTTTATTCCAACAAACACCAATTTTGTCTGCAGTTTTCTGAACATACCTCTTTGTCATTGAATTTCTGTTGCTGAGTTCATACTGTCTCAACATGATAAAAGAAACCAATACAATGAAATGGCATAACAAAACATTTTACAGCAGACACACACAGATGATTAAAGATTTAATCAACAACAACAAAAAGTTACTCTAGCTTTGAAGTATGCTTTAGCAAAACAAATCGTCCAAACAAATGAATAAAGTATACCAAAACAATTCTGTTTGAGAAAGAACATGAGTTGCTGATGGTTGCTTAAGAAATGGAAAAATCTGCTAACTACATTTTAAGAATGTGTTTATTAAAATAAAATATGATAGAAACTGCAGAGCATGGCAATAATTTATTGTGTATGTATGTTTTCCTTTTGTCACAGGGCACATGAAAGTATGAAATATTTTCCTTTCAAGCTTGTGTTCTGAATTACCTAAAGTCGATACCCAGCACACTGAGCAAGAGACATTGTTAAATTTCACTTTGACACCATCATCTGTCACCCCACCTGTACTTTGAAAAATGAACTCTAAGCAATCAAACCACTTTCTTTCATGGAAAATATTAACTAGAGTCTGCAAAAGTAACCTGCAAAGGGAATAATACTTTTTTGTAATAGTAACAACAACGCTTAATGCTGGTATAAAAACAAAACTAAACTAAAAACATTAAGAAAAGGAAAAAAGAATATGCAACATTTTACACCAAATCAAAAACTTCAGAAGGAAGTCTAGAAGAATCACCATTTTAATAAAACACCATCAGAGTGTTATGGACTTTGTATAACGATGTGTCTGAGACTTACCAACACTTGAATTCAGATCTCCATTTTCAGAGTCTGCTCCATGCTGGTTGTTATTTGCATGATAGTTGGACATAGCTTCCAATTTAATTTTTTTCACTTTCATTGCTTCTGCTATGGCAGCATTGGTGGCAGCTGCTGCTGCTGCAGCTGCTGCTGTCAGGCCTGCAAAGTATGAATAAAATTTAATATACATTATTCTATGATTCTTCATTATTGTAGGGACTAAGACTGTTACTCTTCCTTCATGCTTACTACGAACAGAGAACACTGCAGAGTAGTTTTCCTCTTGTTTCATTTGAGGGCTATCAATTTTTTCAAATAAAATATTTCACATCCTATATAAATAGTTACTTCTAAACATCCCACGTCCACCTAAATCTTAGCTTGGTATCCAGTAACTGCAATTATAATAGTCATAACTAGCTGTAGCTACAAATACGTGCTTTCAGAAACCAGATTTTGTTTGTAAATGATCTGAAGCATCTGAATAAGAAAAGGTGAACATGCATGCAACTGTACTTTGAAAAAATCTTTTAAATGTAAAATGTTTTTGTCATGCTAAATAAAATAAATTAAAAAACAAATCCATAATTTTTGTTTATGAATAACAGACTAAAGAACTCAGACATTTAGTTCTAATTTCATATATAATATCTAGGAGATGTGAGCCCCCATAGGAATCATTTCTAGAAGAAAAGGTAGCTATGCAGAACATTGATAACATACTTATTTTGCTTTCCCAAAACTATAAGGCACTACAGAATTTAGCAATGAGAAGGGGATCCATTAAATACCAAAGACGAAGGCACCTTCAGGCACCTTCAGTCCTTGTCCTACCAAACCACATTTCGGCCATTCAGACATATACAGGAATATTTTACAAAAATGAGGAAAGTTTTCTCTGTCAAAAGCAGTTACGAGAAATACTCTAGTAATGCCTTCAAAACTCAAAATTAGATACAGTCTTTACTCAATGTCATAAATTTTTGCCTTCCTCCTTAAGGAGGAATATTTTTTCCGCTATCCCCAGGCAGCACTGCTGTCCATTCCTTTTGTTTTGCTCCAGCTTGGGTGATGATGAAAAGAAGCCAATGTCAAAACTCCTCAAGAGCTACCCAGAAAAAGACCTCCGCTACTTTCTGCTTGTCTCACATGATTAAAACAGGAGGTAGAGATGGAAATTAAAGAAAATTAAACCCAAGAAATGAAGGAGAAAGCAGTAAAATACATAAGTTTTATGCAATAAAACTACCAATCTAAGCCCTCAATCTGTGATATCGCATGAGTAGCAGACCCTCAATACTTTTGAACCAAGATTCTTGCCCTGACAGGGGAGACAGCTTGAAAGATCTGTGTAATTAGTTTAAAGGTGTCTGCTTGTCTGATTTTCAGCTATCCTGAGAGGTGTGAAGTGTCTTACAGATCTCAAGAGGAATTAACTCCATGACTTACTATTCTAGTGGGCCTAGGCTGCTGCCCAGCATAGGAAGAGCACAATTTATCAGGGAATACCAAATAAGTAAAGAATCCCAGGCTGCTGAGGTAAATACTGCTACCAGCATTGCTTCCATGGGTTTCTTATTGTCTCTTTTACCTTCTTAAATGGAAAACGAGTTCAGTATTACCATGTTTTCAGCTAGCAACAGAAGATAACCCACTGGTGAGAAAGCTGAAGGTGAATGGACTTCAGGAATCTCCATCATCACATGGAAAGCAAAAAGGTGGCATAAGGGGTGCTTTTTCATATATTATGTCTTGCTTCAAGGTTGGTTTCCCTTATTTCTCTGCTTGACTGTATAAAGCTTAGCAAACAACTCCAGCCTCTCTACTTGCCTCACAAAGACTTCCAGCACCTTTACATGCAATGAGAATTACCAAGTATGGGATAATTACATTCTGCGTGGGCAGATCAATATTATTTAGGAAACTTCCAATTCAGGAAGAAGTACCAAAAGGAAAAAAAATCAAATCAGAAGGTGGATAAACTCGAGGGTTTTATTTTATTTTAGCTTCTGCCACTATTACAAAATGTGCACATACTTGTCTTAAGAAGGTACTGACAATAACATGGATTGTTTCCAATGATATTTTTATCTTAGAGGAAGGATATGAAGTTATACATTACACAAATTTGGTTACAGTCCTTAAATTAGGCCAAAGAGAAAAGGATAGTGCACCTCTGAACATTGGTTTGTATCCTGTGTTCATTAAACAATGCAATATCCTATACTTCCTTATATATATATATATATATACACACTACTGAAAAGCTAAAACTAGCATCTTTAAAGAAAAATCCCTTAGAAAAATAATAAAATACCAATATATAAAACTAATAAATATGACAGCATACCTCAAACTTTTGGTTGTTATTGCACTCTCGATCAGTTTTTAAACACCACCAAATATTAGAATAAACCCCATATTAAACCAATACTCCATTGGATTTGTGAGCCCCCCTGGAAATATTATTGTCTATCTGAAAATACTGTTGTTCACCATTGCAGAACTGCTAAAATAAAACCCTCTTTTGCTGCAAAATTTGCAAAATCATGTAGGCATTTATAGTTTCTTCTGAAGCACACATAACGCTTCTCTGTAAAGAAAGCCATACCCTTTGGATAGGGGCTGGAAAAATAAAACGCAGACTGCTGATATACAGTTTAATACAATTCTTTCAAAACAATACTTGCGATAATAAAATAAATTTTTTTAAAAGCAGAAATTAAACTTTAAATTTTATTCCTTCTCTCATGTAACTGCTTAAGTGATTGAAATTATCACTTTGCCATACAGCAATTAATTTAAACTGTATGTAACTGAAACGTGTCTCTCATATAAACATGAGTCAGAGCAGGAGGAAGTACAGAAGAGGGGCACTGAGTATGGGATAATCCTCAGAATTGTAGCTTAATCCAGTTCTTCACAGCAATGTCAACCTAGCACAGTTTCTGCCTTACTGTTACTTTTTTCTACTTTTTAACTGCCACGATATAGCAAAGCACTTGCAAGGAAGTGGAAGGCAAGGAAGGTCCTGAGCCACTCACCAGAGCCCCTGGCACTGGTGCAGTGTGGAGGACAAAACTTTCTTGTTAACACGTTGCCCTACTTATCTCACCAGAAAAGGCTGTCATATATTTAATAAATAAGAGATTTATAAACTGTTACATAGCAACTATATGTATATTTAACAATTCTAAACTTTAAAGTTCACATATATACTTGGGACTTTTTTTTTCTTTAAACAGGTCATTTGAAAAAAAACTTTTGACCTAAACATTAATTAATATCTTTTTTCTCTTACAAGAAATGGGCACAGCCACAGAATTTCCAAGTTGTATATTTTTCATTACATTTTATCTTCAATATGAGAAAAAGAAAAATCATCTATTAAGGCATACGAAATGGAAGAAATAATAAGAATCACATTCAACATCCCTTTAGATATTTATTTTTTTACAAAAAATTATTTGAACAGTTAAAAAGCGTCCAGGCTAAAATACTCAATGGATTAAAGTCAATGGTAGTTGTCATTAATATTCTGAAATTGATAAGTTGTTTATGTCTGGCATTTTTCCTGCTGATTATGCAGTGAGACAGGCAGCTTTATAAATATCTCATCACTCCATCGTCACACAAATTTCATCGACAGTGCTCATGCACAGCTATTAGCAATATGAATCTAACCATTACAAGAGGAAAGAAAATCGAACATGTGGCATTAATACGCAGTCCTGGTTCCTAACCATCTGATAGGCAGATGGTGTAAAGCGGATTCTCCAGCTGAAATGAAGGGGCACATCATTTAAAACCTTGTTTGCATTCTAACTGATATCAGTGCCATATTGATATACATGATACATCATGGCAGTATTTGAACAATCTAGTTTGTTTCAGTCATAAATGTTTACAGCCTTGTTTTTTATCTTTAGAAGCATGTTCTGAAGAGCATATTTTTAATTTATGAAACCTATTGTTTACTTCTGTTGAACCAGAAGATTAGTGAAAAGCAGGAATATTAAATTACCACAACTGTAGCAGTATAACTAAGATGGATGAATAAAGTATGTTTTTTCAATAAAATATGTTACTAAAGGAATTAAAAATTAGCCAAGGCATCTTATGCATTAAATACATTTATTCATTTAAACCTTACAGCTTTTTTCCCATGTGACATACTTAGAACTTTAATACTTTATAAAGCTATTCATTTAAATCTCTTCCTGCATGCAATTAATCTTGTCCAACAATTTATTTCAAAACGCAAAACATCAGAAAGTAAAGTTTAATTCAACAATCATGGTTCTGAAGTAATCTCAGTATTGCTGACAGTTCCTATAGACTCGTCAGCAAAAGTCTGTTCAAGGTGTCTTGTAGGAACTGCATGAATTTGAATTACAACTCAATTGAAAGCTCTCCAAGCCTTAGTAGGAACTCGGGAACAAGAAGCAAAACACCAAAAGAAACCGTGAATGATCCTTTCCTACAAAGACCTTCCCTCTTCTGTCACTAGATTACTTTGGCCTGTTGGGTGTGTTTATAGCTGTTAATTATGTTAATAAAGTTGCAGCCTGCTGCCTCTGCCAAATATAATCATAAGCATTCTCCTGCCAAGTTCTAGTCTAATTTACACCCATGCAACTCTACTGAAGGCAAAATTTTGTGGGTGAGAATAAGACCAGAAGTATGCCCAGTATGTGTGGTCTCCAATGCTGAAAAATGAGTGAATAAAACACAACAACATAAAAACATACAATCTTCAGAAAACAATTCTATTTTCAAAGTAAAATGCTTGAGAAAGATGTCCAATATCATGAAAGATTTTCAAAAACTGTACAAATTACTGGTGGGGACTAAATCATATCCTGGAGTTCTGCCTTCCAACAAATATTATTCCCTGCCTTAAGAGACTGCTCTTAAAACTTTCAATTTTTATGGCACAACAATTTTACTACACATCCTAACTGTGAAGGAAAAAAAAGAAAATGAAGCATGAGTATTCTTTTCAGGCTCAAATACATCTCAAAATGTGTATTTTGGATGTTATACCTAAACCCAGTCCTTTGACAAATTACAAACTTATTTCAGTAATTGATCTTAATTCATTTTTAACTCCCTTCATATAACTATTCCTAATAATAATCAGCTTTCCTAATAATTAT